ACCATTATTTAATTTCCTTCTCCATGCTGCATGAAAAATATTACAAACTCATATATGAGTTTAGGGGAAGGGATCTTTGGAGGCCATATGGTCCAATTTCTATTTTGGAACAGGGCTGACATCAGTTTGTTCCGGTTCCTTAAGGCTTTGTTTGATAGCTCATCTTGTGAAGATTTTTTTATCTACATATAGTCAGAATTTCTCTTGCTATGACTTGTGTCCACTGCTTCTTGTCCTTTTGTTGGGCATCTCTGAGCATAGTGTGACACCGTCCTCTCCACCACCTGTCAGGTAGTTGTAGACAGTAACTGAGATCCTTCTTCTCTCTGTCTTCTGCAGGCTGAACAAACCCAGCTCCCTCCTTCTCTCCACGCTCTCCAACCACTAACAACATTGGAATGGTTGGGCTTGCTCCAATATGTCCTTGGAAGTGTTACATTGCATTAATCTCTTCTAGAAGCAAGCTCCATTATTAAGATCCTGGTCTTGTGGAATTTTTGCCTCCATTCCAGAACACAAGCTACCAATTTCTTGACTCTAGTAGCTGGTGGCGTATATCCTGATGAGCTGGAGTCTTCCCTCTGCATTCCTGAGGTTACCTCACCTGGTCTTGTAAAAGGCTTTGAAGATCAAGTCTAAGACCTTTGTAATGACTCACATAAAAGTGTTGTGAGAGAGAATATGTGCATATCTGAGTTGGGAAGAGCTTGGTGAGAGAAGTGGTGGCTTTCAAGGCAGTTTTAGTGATACTGAAAAAAATCCAGCTGCAGTTTTGCACTCAGAGCTACAGCTGCAAGAGGAATTAATACAGAAGTGGATAAGGAGTTCCAAGAGGAAGATGAGGATTTGGAATAATTGCTTCAGGAGGAAATTTTATTCTGTTGTGGGGCATTTGGAACAAATATCAGTTGGGAGGAAGTGACTGTGCTGCAGACCAGCAGTGGTGAGAAGTGAAAGAGGCACGTGGAGATTTTTGGGTTTAATCAGTTAATCACATGGCTGTCACTGTGCGTGTGCTGTCAGACTTACCCTAAGCATGTGCTTTGAGAGGAATCATGGATTCTGGCTGACTCTCTTTTGTCAATGCTCATGATGCACAGGAACATTCGCAGTGACATGACCTGCTGAGCTCTGCAGGCCACTGTTTATTTTGGGCAGGATTTTTTCCAGTGAGGTGCTGGTTTTGCATGACCTGTACACTTTGGGATTAAAATTACTTGGTTGCACATGTTGGTTCACTGAATGGAAAGGTCAGTATTTGTAACACATTTTTAGTTTGTTTTCACTGTTCATATCACACTGGTTGGATTTCAAAGTAATGCTGGTTCTTTATCCATGGATGCTGCTGAGGGAAATGTGTATTGTTGGAGGCGTTTTGTGGCCTCCATGAATTTTTACATTTGCAGAATTTGTGCTTTCCATTTATGGGCAATTTAGTGCTTTGCCTTCCAGGGGTGTTCTTTGTGTGCATATGGAATCTATTACACATGATTTGCAGATCCTTTGTAGATTTAAAAAACAATGAAGTATGGGATTTCACAATATAGGAACTATGAACTAAGTTAAAACACCCTAAAAAATTTGAAAACTGTTTGTCTTCCTAAAAGTGGAAATGCATAAATATTTTGTAAACAGTGCTGGCTGTAGGGGTTTTTAACTAAAGAAAATGGGATGGATACTCAGCTGCTAAACTTTGAGGTTTTGGGTTTTTCTCATAATGACTGTGGCAAATTGTCCTCTTTGTGACCACTGAGTAATCTTAGATGTTGGAGTCAAGTGGTTCCATCAAAATATTTGGAATGAGTGTGGATAGAACACCCCCACTTTTCCAGCCCAGTCTTTCTTGTGCCAGAATAGAAAATCATGCTGTGGGAAGGTCTTGTGGTAAACAACTGTTCAGGAATGTGATCTCTCCAGAGCTTTGGGGAGAGAGATGCTGGACTTTGCCCTTGATACAGATACACTGGATCCCAAAGGTGCTGGAGGTGGATGACATGCAATGACTTTCAAAGAGCATTTTAATACACTAATCTGGTCTGCTTTGATAATCTGGTTTTAGCCATTTCCTTGGTCATGAACTTTCCCTCTTAGTCCCTTTGTCCTTTCTGTTTCCACTCCAATTCCCTGCCAGTTTTAAACCACTTTTTCTTGTATTTCAGTGCCTTTCTGGAAGATGTGGGCATTCCTTGTTTCAGTCCACACTTCCAAGATCTTCATGTGCTGTAGACTTGTTAACACATATTTAAGGATCTCAATGCCTCCAGTGAATACTGTGAGGGGAAAAATAACATTATTTTTGGTTCAATATCTGTGATGTCAAAGATTTTTTAACACATTCATCCAACAACTTTGATATGCTCTCTACAGATCCTTATTTTCTGTCTTGGAAATTGGCCTTTCCTTTCTTTCCATAGTCTTGGGAATATGAGTGTGGGGGATCTAATTAGCTCATGCCCAAAAGAAGCATTTAGAGTCTCACCATGGGGCAAGAGGCCGTGGGATAGGATGATTGTAGATACAGCATGTTCGACTTAGGTCACAGCTTGGTCCCTCCTAATCCCATTTTGTGGCTTCCAAATTTTGCTGTTGGTGGTCTTTGCTTTTTTATTATGATTGTCAGTCTGCCTGAGGATTCCGTGGTCTGCCTTTAAGGCCTGTTACTTGTGATGACACTTGAGGGAGATATTCTGTGATCCTGTCTAAACTACGTCCATTATGTGATTAGGTCCAATCTCCTGTCACAAGACACAACTCAAGAACAGCTACTCTCCCATCATGGGGAGATGTGTGGCCTGATCAAAGGAAACATGTAATTATAAAAGCTAAAGTGAACCAGGCAAAGAATCATTTGCTTTTGTTCATTGGATTTATGCCTTCTGATGCTCTGATCATCTGAGAGGACACAGACATCTACCTGGAGCCTGGATGAAAGCAGTCCTTTCTTGTAAAGTCAAGAGGGTGAATAGGACACCATGTACTTAGAATTTCCCTTTATAACTCCCCTTATGCACTCAGCTTTTCTTGTGCTGTCCTTTTTGCTCTGTAATGACTCAGAGGCACCTCTGGAATTAGCAATATTCATGTGTTCTTAATGCTTCTGTGCCACTCACCTCCTACCTGGCATTTTTCTATTTCTCAAATGCATTTTTAGTACCTTTCTACTGATCAGAAATCAAATGACACTCTGAGACTGGCAGTGGAAAAGAAACCCTTTTCAGAATTTTCACTGTTACAGACCTCCTCTGATAAACTGCAGTAAGTGCCTGCTTATTCTGTACATGCTACCAACAGATGCAGAATTCAGTGGAATGGGAGGCAGGTGAAAGGAATCCATGTTCAGCCCTCATTACTGCTTCTGAGCTGCTTCTGAACTCGTGTGAGCTCATGATTTTCCTCACTTGCCCATTTTTGGGGGACTTCAGGCAGCCAGCCCTGGTATTTCAGGTATTTCCTCAAGGAAAGACAGATACAGTCGAGCACCCAGGTGAAGGAACAGTCTGATGAGAGTAATGTGAAAAGTTGTGTGGAGATGGTCAGTGTAGCTCAGAGCATGCATGCAAGGGCCACATTATCACAGTTACAAACCAGCACAGTAATTCCTCAGTTCAGTCATCCTGACAACTTTCCCTATAGAGGAAGATCTTTTTTCCTGAAGAGAACCCAGTTTGTAAAAGATATAAATCTTGAAAAAGCAATGTCAGAGAAGTGCAGGTTGGAATTAGATGAATACAGAGAGCTCTTTCAGTTGAAAAACTGATGATGTTGTGGTTCCATTTTTAACTCAGAAAACACAGAACTGCAAACAGAACTATTCCTTTAGAGGCAGTGGAATCTCCTGAGATTCAAATACACTGTAAGTGCATGAGGAAATAGTCTATTTCAGGTGCACTCCCCAGAAGAAGTTGTAGCAAGGTTGACTATGTAATCTCACATCATGAGAACACCATACATAAATAGATTTTTCAATTTAATACATGGATATGAACAAGAACTTAGAAACTGTTTTGCACTGAAACTCAAGGTCACTGCCAGCCTGCTGGAGACCCGCCGCTGCTGCTGCTGCTGTGCGGGGTCACCAGCGGTGGGTACCACTGCCCTGATGCTGCCGTTCACCAGCAGAATCGGGGGGCCATTCCCTTCAGCGCGCACACAATGTGCGAACACGGATGCCTTCCTCCACGGCTCTTTGTGACGGGAAATGCCGACCCTCCACTCGCACCCATCCTGGTATCTGGATGGTCTGAAGCGCGGCGTTCGCTTTCCCTGTCTGCCCGGTGCGCCGGCAGCAGCACCCCCGGTACCCCCCGCTCCCGCACACGCCCTGAGCCCTCCGCCGCTCGCACTCCGCACGGGCACACGGGGAGCAAACACCGGCGAGACCCCCGGAGGAGCGCTCCGCGGGCACCATCGCTAAAGCGAGCCCTGCCCGAGGGATGGCAGCAGCATCCTCCGCACGGCCGCGGGGAGGGGGAGCGATGCCGACCGGGGATACCCCGCCGCAAGCCGCCCCTCGTCCCCGCGGCCCCCGGGCGCTCGGAGCGGGGGCGGGCGGACCCCTCCCCTCCCCTCCCCGTGCTCCCCGCCCCTGCCCCGCATTGGCTGCGGGCGCTGACGGGCAGCCGGGGCGGCCCCTGCCCGCGGCCGCCCAGGGGCACTGCCCGCACTGGGGGTCCGGCCGCGCCGCGGAGCGGGGCTGAGTCGAGCCGGTGCCGCCATGGGGGTGGAGATCGAGACCATCTCTCCGGGAGACGGTACGAGGCCGTGCGGGGAGCAGCCCTGCGGCGCGGGGACGGGGGCACCCGGGGGCTCCGGGAGCGAGGGAGCCGCGTCCCCGCCGGCGGCAGAGCGGGGAGGCGGGAGGGAGGCACGGCCGCCCCCGCAGCCCCGCGGGCACGAACCCCGGTGCGGGAGAGGCGGAGCGCGGCCAGGCGGCCGCCCGGGGCGGCGGGGGCGGCGAGGGGCCGGGGCTTCCGTGGCAGCCGCTGACAGCTGCACGGCCCCGGCGGGGAGCCCAAACTTTCCCCGGTGCCGAGCCCGGCCTCGCCGGGGCTGCCGAGCGTTCGTGCCGGCATCCCCCGGCAAGGCACCGCCGCCTCCCGCTCCAGCGTGGGATGCTGGCGAGGGCTGATGTGCAGCCCGGGTGGCAGTCACCTCTCCTTGGCGCACGCTTGGCTTTCGAGAGCTGATTCGCAGTGTTCTGCTCTCCCTTGGCATTATAATTCCGTAAGGTGCTTGTGTTTTGGGATTTTTTTGTTTGGGTTTTTTGGGGTTTTTTTTTAAGAGAATGTAATTTCTAGCATACATATGTAGCTATATAATAGGCCAGACTCATCATTGGCTGATATACAACCATAAATAATTCGTTCAAGTTGATTGCAGATTAAGTTTCTTGGCCCGGTATCTTTCCTTTCTTTGTATATGCTTTTAAATTGGCTCCTGCCTCTGTGCTGTTTAGCTCTAGAGATCGAATTCTTCTCTTGGTTGCACAGATGTAAAAAAAGAATACTTATACCCACCTAAGTAGTGGTGCTGAGTTGGGAGTAGGAAGGAGGCTGGAACTACCTCACAGTAGTATTTTCTATCTATTAAATAGATCAAGGCTGTCATTGTAAGTAATATGTGATTCCAAATAAGGCTGTATGGATCAGTTCTCTTGGTTGCAAGTCTTAATCAAAATCAGCTGACTTTAAACACTGTCTTAAGCCACAGTGAGTCAGTGGTCTTGCGAATCTCTGCTTTTAATTTGGCTTTGATGTAAAATTATGTAGCTTCATTGGCTTTGCTGGTGGTAAACTCACACAGCAGAGTGTGTGTCCATAAGGTCTGAAACTGCTTTTCTCAGATCTCTGTATAATAGTGGATCATTTTAATAATGCCTGTTTTACTGGAGGGAGGATTCATCTCACATAACTTCTCTCAGGTTAGCTGGCTAGTGTAAAGCAGTCTTCTGGGTTTTCTCTGTGGCCATCTCCAGAGAATAATTTGTCTTGCCTTTCTCTGGATAGGCTGGCTTTCTCTCAAAGCACTGCTAATTCTTTGCTGTCAATACAGGAAGCCCAGGAGACTGGCATATGATAGTTTAAATGGCTGTGAATTTAAAAGAGATGAATCCCACTTTAGCATACCATGGTGACCGTACCAGATACCTACTGTACTGCATTTTGTGCAAGGTGCAGCTAGGGATATTCCAGCCAGCCAAGCCAATGAACAAGGTGTTCAGGTGGCACTTGGAAGCACCACTTTCTCAATTTTTGTGTTGTAACTCTGGGTTCATCATATTAGCCTGCCCTCTGCCTTGTACTGCTCATGTGGTTTTGGATGTGAACCCCAAGACCATAGCTTGTGTGTTACCTGCTGGTTTATACCCTGTGAAGTGCCCTGTAATGCAGGACTTCTTATCATGTTAATTCTGACCAAAGAGCCAGAAAGCCAGCTAAAAGATGAGCCTCAGTTTCATAGAATCATAGAATGGTTTGGTTGGAGGGACTTTAGAGATCATCTTGTTCCAACCTCCCCACTCCCCATCACGTTCCATTAGACCAGATTGCTCCAAGCCCCATCAAGCCCAACATTGAATATTTCAAGGGATGGAGCATCCACAGCTTTTGTGGGCAACCTAACTCAGTCCCCAGTATTTAGCTTTCTGTCACAGATGTTCCTTAATAATTAACCTAATTGATTATTTTAATTTCTTCTGAACCCAGGCACTCCCCTGGCCAAACTTGAGAAATCGTGGTTAGCATCTTTACTACACCATTGGCATCTAATTGAGCCTTGAGAGTCATCCCTTAGCTTTTAGTACCTTTAGCAGTACCTAGAACAGGTAAAATGGAAATGGTAATTTCATTTCATGTCAAGCAAATAATTTAAGCTTTTTTTTCCTTTCAGTATGAACATTTTAGGAGGAGCTACCAGGCTCTTGAAATAACTCAGTGTACTACTGCTGTACTGTTGCCTGATGCTACAAAATTATACTGCTTTTGTCTGTGAAAATTTCTGTAAAACCCATCCCTGCTAATTAAAGATGCCCTCACAGAGCTGTCTTTCTTGAGTGGAAGTCATTAGAGATGTGAATACAAATGGATTTTCACACAATGTCAGGCTGAGACTTTATTTGAAAAAATATAGCAAAAACATTCTGAGAATTATTAAAAGTTATAATCCATGGAGTTTTGAATTTCCTTTTGCACTTATAGAATGTAAATGCATATGTAATGCACACATATATAGGGAGAGTTATCTAAGAAAAATACTGCTTGGTCTGAGAGCTAAACAGCAGCCAAACTGGGACCCTTTACCCTAAAAATATGCAAGACAGGTCCCATTCCTGTCTTGCATATTAGTGATTTGGTAACACATAGTCATATATCGTGGAATTGTTAAAGTTGGAAGAGACTTGTAAGATCATCAAGTCCAATTGTCAACCCAGCCCCACCACCATGTTCACCATTAAATCGTGTCTTCAGATGCCATATGCGTGTGTTTTTTCAACCCTTGAAAGGATTGTGACTCCACCACTTGCCTGGGCAGTCAGTGTTTTACAACCCAATGCCTTTTTCTGTGAAAAAATGTTTCCTAATATCCAATCTAAACCTAATCCAGTGCAACTTGAGGCCATTTCCCCTCATTTTTAGCTTCCATGTATCTGGAATTAGAGACTGATCCCTGTTTCACTACAACCTCCTGTCAGGGAGTTGTAGAGGGCAATAAGGTCCCCCCTGAGCCTCCTTTTCTCCAGGCCAAACACCCCCAGCTCCCTCAGCTGCTCCTTGTAAGACTCGTGCTCCAAGTTGTATGAGGAGCCACTTATGCCTAGAGCTGTCATGTGGATGTCTCGGGTATCCTAATGTAACCAAATGGCTGATACCAGACCTCAGTTCAGCATTTTCCTCTTAAAAGATAAACTTGCCTAGCCTGGTCAATCAGAGAAAAGAAAAGATTAACCTTTTATAATTTTAACAGGACGGACATTTCCAAAGAAGGGTCAGACGTGTGTGGTGCACTACACAGGTAAGGCATGTTCTGGATGTTCTTCAATACCAACTGCTTCACATCAAGAGTCATTTCCCATTTCAGATGTCTGTTGTATTTTTTGTTTTGTTCTGTCACTCATAATCCATTGCATAATGTTTGGGTGGGTTTCCTGCCTATTTCACTCTAACTGAGCTGTTCAGGCTACAGTAGCTAGATGTGCCTGCTGGCAGATTTGCCATGGGTAGTGTTCAATGGTGGGAGCCTTGCAGAAGAAGCTGCAGACCTGATTCATTAAGGCATTTTATTAGCTAATGAAATTGAGCATGAAACAGTCAAAATGCTGGGTTCATATTTTTATAGCCTCTTGTCTTGACACAGACAATTAATGATTGTATATATCTTAAAAGCATGTGTCCATGTATTGGCAGTAAAATTCATTCCAGATTGCAGAGATCAATACCAGGTCTGTTTAAACACCTGCTTTATGGACTTGTGTTCATCTTAAGCAGTGAGCTGGGTAATGGGGCTGCTTATGCTGAAGAAGAAAATGTTCTTTAAATCAGTTTATGGTGTTATACTTTGTATGTAGTTATGTCAATTGTCAAAGGGATGCAAAAGTCTCTGTAGTCTGAATCTCCAACTGGGAAGTTCACTTCAGCAGCTGCCATTTTTTGAGATATTGTCCTTAAGAAGACAACATGCATTATGTAGGGATTGAAGCTTCTGATCTGGGCCTAGATAGTGAGGTAATGTTTTCCTCTAGTGTTCAGGATAGGAAAGTTCTCTCTGGTAACTGTTGCTTTCCTTTAGCTTTGTATTTGATTCTTACAACTGGAGCAAGATGGGAACATTTTCCAATAAACATGACTAATGAAGTAAACCTGTTTGTATTTTCAATGAACCTTTTATATAATTTCAATAATACCACCATTCAGAAGGTTATATGGGAGTTAGTGCACTGGGTTGAGGTGGAGGTTGTCTGGGTTTAAGCTCCCATTTATACATTTATATATTAAAAGTATTTTGATCTAATGAAGATTTCTAGTTTGACTTAGAAGATGTTAAATGGATCTCTCATTCCAGTCTCAGCTCTTACAGACCTTTCTCTGTAACTTAGATATGAAAATAGATGTTTTGAAATTATTTTTGTGAAGATGCTGAAAGATGTTTCTCTTCCTGTCCAAACTTCAAAAGGTTTTATGAAATAAAATTGTCACCTCCCACCCCTAGTTAGTTCAAGATAAATTTAAATGTCAGAACTGAAATAGGCAAAAAAATTTGAGCCTGGTGGCTCCCACAAAGCACATTTTTTCTGGATAACATCAGAGAGTGTGAATGGTAAATGTGAAAGATAACGAGATGCTGCATACTGCTGTTGATATTAGATAGTGTCTTAGATGAGGCTGTTGTAAGCTGGCTTTGACATAAAAGACTTTATAAAACTCATTAAATCAATCTGTAGTGTAAACTGTGCTTTCTCCATATATCTTGCTGCTGGTACTGTGCAACCTCTCTTACCTTCCCAGATTAGAACAGATATCAGAGGAAACTCATCACCTCAGTTCCACTGCTGGTGCCAGCAGTCTTTGGTGATGATGTTTTTAAGTTGAGCCCATGGTTAGTGAATAAAGTGTTTCCTTCCAGTGATCTATAAAGCATGTGGGTAAGATGACATGTAGGTGTTGAATTTTAGTTTAAAACAGTTTTATCTGGATTCAGTGCAGTTTCTTTTTGTACTGATGAGATTCCGGATATGCCTGGTAATTATCTTAGAATGATCTCTGTCTTATTTATTCAATATGCTTAATACTTATCCTCACCACACTCCTCTGAGTGCTGCTTTAGGAATTGTATAGCTGAGTTAGAGGGAAGTCTGCAGAGAAATGCAGAACCTGTGCCTTGGCACCTCAAATGGGAGCTAGGAAAAACTAAGACACTTAGATCCAGAAATGCTGCTTTTCAGGGCTGCTTAATACTGTTTAGCATGTATAACTCTCAAGTGATCTCCATATTCAGCCAATGTGGCACTCTGAGGCTGGGCACAGATACCTGTGAGGAGGTGTTGTGTTATGGGAGGTGGGGGAACCATGCACTGACTGACTCTATCAGGATCCAGAGATTATTTGGAGAAGCCTGACCTCACTGGAGTGCTTGGAGCACAGCTCTGAATCCAAGATCAAGCAGAGCAGAGAGCCAAAACCACAGCCTGTGGGAGCCCACTTGGTGTGTAATAACTGAAGAGTTGTTTCAGACATGGCAAACCTATCCCCAGCTGGCTCTTGCAACAGGAGAGGGTCATAACTCTGCCTGCCACATCCTGAACTTCAAGCATTACATTCCTGGGGAGAAGAGAGCTGAAATTTCCTACTCTTTCCAGTTTAATTTGGACACTGAGCAGTGAAGAGTGCAGAAGCCATGGGCAAGGAAAGGAGCAGGCAAGAGGGTGAGTATTTGTTGCAGGCACTCATGCAGGGATATGGAAGGAGTTGTAGTGCAATCCCTGCCTTTGGGGATTAATTCAATACCTTTTTGTTAATCCTAAGATTTTCCCATGTGGTGGTGCCAGCTGGGCAGGCCATGTAACTTCTTGCAGTGACCCATCTGCTCTCACACCAACACACACTGTGGTGATACAGCTCCTCAGCACAAGCATGGTTGGTCCTGATTTCTTGTGCATGCATAGAAAAAACATTGCCTGCCCACTAATTATTCCTGTCTCAAAGGAGAGGAGAGGCTAAAATGGATTCTCTTCTGCCAGAGCAAGTTATGAATCTTCAGGAGACTCCAGTGAGGAGTGGGCTGTGGGCTCTGTAGTGTCTTATTTTCCCTCTTGCCTTTGCTCTCACAGGCATGCATTTACCATGTGATGGGGAGTGATGGCAGAGAGGATGGACAGGAATGGACTGCTGTCACTGCAGGAGTAAAAGGCCCACAGCAACCTCCATTTTTTAGGAGTAAGCTTTCTGTATGACTTGTCCTGGTGGTTCATGTAGGAAAAGTCCAGAGAGGACCAAAGACTGGGACACCAGATGTTTGGCAGAGCTTTAGAGCTCTGCCTGCTTGTCCTCCAGGATTTTATGCTTCATCACCAAGGTAGAGATTCAGCAGGGTAGTTTCTAGTCTGACAACCCTACATGTTCTGGAGGAGTGGGAAGTGAGAACTGGAATCTCCTCAAGATGAAGGAGAACTGTGACTGAGTTTTACACTTCTGCTGTCAGCACTCCAGCTATTAGGCTGTTACATGTGGCAGCTTTTCCTCTTTCTCTCCTTGATCAACTGGATGCATAATCTCAGGGTATGGCATGGAGTGTGATTCCCAAGAGCATTGTGGTGCCTTAAGGAACAGACCTCAGTTCCAGTGGCAGCAGGAGTTAAGGTGCAACCTCACCAGGGAGCAATTTAGAAAGGACCTCTTTGTTTAAGGAGATTGTTTTTAATTATTTTTTTTCCCCTTAGGAGTAATTCTCTGCTGCTTTACAATTAGAGCAGGATTTTTGGATTACCCTTCAGAAGTACCTAATTGCCCTTTCATAACATGCCTTAGTGCCTAACTTTGGTCCTGTAAATCACCTGCTAATTTTTCAGCTTTGCACAGACTGATTTAAGTACACAAATAGATGTCCAGATAATTGTAGAAGATTAGATAGGCGGACTGTGATAGAACATGAAACCAAGTCCCAGTCTTAGTATATGATGGAAAAATGTGCTCAGGTTCCTGTATGCTTATTTTTGTTAAAAAAATGTTATATTTGTTAACAAATGTAACAAATATAATATTTTCTTCTTAGCATCCAGCATCCATGTTTAATCTCAAAAGTTACCTAACACAATATTGCTGTAATGGGATTAATAGATAAGGCAGAGCACTGGCACTGAAATGCATTTGCAGCAGCACTGGTTTATGTCATGTTTTTTGTCACAGATTTCCTGGAGCAAGCTTCTCAAAGCCTTTGGCAATCTGCTTACTCCTTCTGTTTTCCATCTGCAAAATGATAGTTGTACTTTGTCTGCCTCCTGTAGAGAGACTGCAGGCAGTTTGAGATATGAACTGCCTCCTTCTTCATGCCTGTTGTAATGGTGACCTAATCTTGATTGGGTCTTCAGGTTACATTGGACCAGTGACAGTAGTACAAGCAAACTAATTAATCCTGGAGTGCATAAAAGGAATTAAGGCATTTTCTGCAGTTTTGATTCCTGCAATTTAAATTTGTTGACTCTGGCAATGGGAATTGGCAGTATAGAATTTTCAAAGATTTATGAACATGATACAAAATGTGACTTTCAGTTAGAAATGTCCCTCAACAAAACCTTCACTGAGGAGAGATATGCTCTGTCTGGAGACTGTGAGCTAAAACCTGCACTCCAGGAAGCTGAATCCCATTCCCAGCCCTCCTGCTGGAGGATGATGTGCCTTCACACCAGCTTTGTGTGTACTGAATCTAAATCTGCTCATGACAATGAGAGGGCATAACTTTTTTTCCCCAAGTTATTCAGAGTTGACATTCTCTTGTCCCATGTAACTTGTGGCAGAGCTGAATTCTTAACCTCTTCATCTTTCTCCTTGGCCACCTGTAAAACTCTGATTATAATGCAATTACTTTTTTAAGGAACTGATGATAACCAGTGTTTCTAGTGTGCTGGAACTGTGTTATTTGAGTGAGACTATAAAACCACAGTAAATAATTAGTTATTTATTAAACTGGACTTTTCTCAGAAGATTTTTCATAGACTTTTTAGGCTAGGACTATTGCCCCAAAATTGCACTAAATAGATTTCCAAGAGAGTAGAATACTTCAGTTGGAAATGACCTAAAATTATCATCTCTTCCAAATGCCTGACAACATCAGAGGTGACCAAAAGTTAAAAGATGTTGTGAAGGTAATTGTCCCAGTCCTCTCATACAGTGACTGGTTTGGGGGATTGACCACTTCTCTGGTGGTGGGCCCCCCACTCAGTGAAGGAATGCTGCCTAATGTCCAGTCTAAGCCTCCCCTGGAGTAGCCTGGAACCATTCCCACATGTCCTGAATCACAGG